AAAGAGGTAGTTTATTGCCCTCAGCTTATAGGGCAGAGGAAGAGAAATAAAATACTACTTGCAAATCTTCTGTAGGGTAAAAACTGGAGCACTGACCTTGCCTCACACTCTGCGAGATGAGCATGTGTTGGGTTTGTTTTGGATTTTTTTTCTTGGCTCAGTCATTCTTTTGTGGAAGTGTTGCAAATCCTGTGATCAGAATGACTTGAAGGGAAAACTACCAGAATAAAGTGCTAAAGTCAGAAAAGAATGTTTACAGATAGGCAGGCACTCAATGCATTTTTCTGTCAGTAGCTGCTAGAGTACAGAAGAGCAGGCTTTAAAAAACAGCACATAAAATAAGCATTAAAAAAATTATTCTCTCTTTTGCTAATTGTTAACAGATTATCAGCAAACTCGAGCGAGAACGGGGGTTTGAAGAAGTCCAGAAACAGCTCCAGCAAGTAAAAGCCTTATTTGATGAAAAGAAAAAATGCAAATGGTATTGAGCAGAGCACTGACTCACAACATCACTGTGGGGGATTTTATATTAGTGCTTCTGCTCCCAGAACTGTTTTGACTGACTTTATGTACAGGGTTTGAAACATTTGGACATTCTTCTCCACTCTGACCATTCCACGTAATCTACGATCAGGAATAAAATGTGGGCATGGTTACATATTCACACAGGAGCATGTGAAAGTGAACCTAATGTTGGCAGAGTCCGCATTTTAGATACTTGAGCACACATAACCCTTTGGTTCAAAAATACCATCTAGTAAGCTTTTTGCTTACTTTAATATAAGGTCATAGGAGATGTGCAAAATACACTGTAAGTTCAGAGTTGCCCACATGAACTTGCAAGTTGCTTACCTCTTTTTTTTTAAGAGAAAAAGCTGATGTTTTGCCACATCCTTTCAGCAGCTTGGCAAACTGTGAGGGTGAGAATACAGGTCAGCTGTAGTTTCCTTCCTTCAAATGTTCGCTAGTTCCTGTTCAGAAAAAGAATACCACCAAAAAAGAAAAAACAAAACAAAACAAAAAAAAACCACCAAACCAGAAAACCGAAACAAAACAAAACAAAAAACCCCAAACACATCAAAAAACCCAACAACAACCTGGCCCCAAAGTGACATTTAGGATAAATGTGTTTAGCAGACACAGTGGGTCTGAGGTTGGACGGCCAAATGCCACATGGCAGACTTACCTTTGTTAGGTTAGAAATTCCATATCCAAAGTGAAGCGAACCACTGAGGGGAAGAGGTGAGGAGAGGCTTTTGGAGAAGGGCATTCAGCCACCATCAGTCTGTGTTTACATTTTTGACCTTTCCATCCTTAAATATGCTGTGAAACACTTGTGAGCAGCTTCACAGCTGAAACTGCACTGTATCAGGACACGTGATTTGGTGAAGCAGCTGACAATGGCTGCACTTTGGTGCACAAACCTGTACTCAGGTGCATGATCAGCCCATGCATCAGTGCTGACAGTCCTGGCCAGCCTTGCCATCTGTGTGAAAGGGCCTCACAGACCTAAAGCCAGCATGTGGGGGGTCAGGTCGAAGGTTGGTTTAATAATATTTAAGAACAGGAAGACTGGTGTTTGAGACACTGATAGAAACTTGCTGAGATTGGGGTGGGGAGGGGTAACTGCCTTAGTCTGGCTGGGGTTTTTTGAGGCTTGGCCATTTTGGAAGGAAGGTGTCCATTACACTTGCACTGGTGGGTAAAGTTGGCCCAGCTGGAAAGCAGGGGCATGGCTGTGCTGCTGGGATGAGTGCAGTGGCTTCTGAGCAAAGCCACAGAGGAGCAGCTATGGCTCTGGCTCTGCTACAGCTACAGCACAACCCCATCCTCTACTACAGAGCTGAAATGGTTTGTCAGCCTGGACTCTGCTTTGGTCACAGGAGGCACATTCTGAGCCTGTCACATGCCCTTATATTTGAGGTAAGGCATTCATGACAAGGGTATACATTTCCATACATTTCTGGAGGGATCCACCACTGGAGGTGAGTGGTGTAGCACAGTGGCCCACAGGAGAGGGAAGAGCTGTCACCTGCCTTGGCAGTGGGAAAGCTGCTATGGGCTGTGAATGACACAGATGGCCCAGGTTTGTTGCAGAAAGCCAATGCTGGGGCTGTGAGCAGCCAGAGCTGGCTGCACAGGGTTCCCAGGCAGCAGAGGGTCACACGGTGCTGAGTTGGAGGAGCGCTAGAGCTCAGACATCGTGGTAATGCTGCCTGCTCTGGTCACAAAGACAGCTGGCCCCAAGCACAATCCCAGTGGCAGAAGCAAGGCTGTTAATGTGAAGAAAAGCAAACACCAAAACACAGTCCTGCTGGTCTGCCCCCTCCTTACCATGTGATTGCACAAGTTGCTCCTCTTGCATACCAGAGAGGGCAGCCACCAACCAACCCATACTGTGATGGCTTTGTTGGTTTTTTTTCTTGGAATTCAAGTCTTACACTTGCTATTAAGTTTACACTTTATACTTGATGGAATGTATGGCTTTGTTCAGGACACTGCACTACAATGTTGCAGTATTTTCAGCAGTTCTCTGTCTGGCACAATGTATTTTGATAAATTCAATTTTAATTGGAAAAAACCCCACCCACCTCTAACCTATTTTGCCCTCCGTCCTAAAAGAATGGACCGTGGCTTGACTAGCACTTGAGCTTGGAATACCTGCACATAAGGGCTTGATTTTTATTGTTCTTAATCTAACCTTTTAAAGCAGCATCAAATAAATAGAAAAAGCACAGTAACTGATACTGAAGGAGAGGCAGGAGTGGATTACACTTTCCAGCTAGTTCTCTTCTACTTCAGGTGTTTGCTGGCAGTGCATTCAAATGAACTGTGATAGTTTTGTTCAACAGTAACCTTCTGTACAGGCAGAAAAAACAACTCCAACATTTCTGCTTGAAAAGCTGTAAAATATAATCTGTTTGCGTGGGTCTGATCCTGTGAACTTCACTATATGTGTTTATATTGATGAGAAAATGAAAATCAGTCCTATTCTGTATTTGTAATACTGCTTGTTTGCTACAATAGCTTTAATGATTTCTAGAGATTAAGTATGTGTTGAAGCAGGCCCTGTAGCTTTATCTACAGCCTGGAATAAGATTATTGCCTTTTATTCAAGCCTCCTAAACAGCGTCACTGTTAGTAAACCATTTTTAAATCATACTGGGATTTTGTAACCCATCAAGTGGATCTCACTAAGTGATGTGAAGTATAATTAAGTGATTGTGGCTCTTTTGGTAGGTTTGGGTCAGCACACAAAACATTGGCACACTTTCCATATCTGCAATTTGCCATTACTGTTACACAGAGAAAAAGAACCACCTCTGACTATTATGGGTATTATGGCAACACAACAGTTCTAATCGCATCCTCAGAAATTAAAATTAACTTTTCTTCAACTTACTTTCCCATGTTTACAGGCAAACTGCTATGGCAAACAGCGTGTTTCTAACACTAGCTTACAGAGCATTATTTTGCAGTCACCTAGTTTGAAGTCAAATCTTACTAATGTGTAAAGTATTCCTGTTGTACAGAAGTTAATCTGTTGTTTAAAATGAATGGTTAAAAAAAGTGCAAATGACAAATACATGTTGGTGTTTGTATGGGTTTATCTAGAATAAAAGCATTTGGAGGTTTGTTTGATTGTGTACTTTGAAATGGTTACAAGAAGGCAAACACAACTGGTAACAATGCGAGGTCATGAAAGGAATGGAGTGTAAGATACAGAGTGGCATCAGATGAGAAGCAGTGCTGCAGCTCCAGCCCTGCAGGGCTGCAGGACAGATCCATGCAGGTCAGCACAGCACTTTTCCATCGCATTGGGAAGAGGAACAGGAAGGTACAATATAACTTCTAATGATGCTGGGGAGGGGAGGCACTGGCCTAAACTCCAGCAGCTGCTGAGCAGTGACATCCTGCAGAGTCTGAATGGAGGAGGATTCCCTTGGCCAGAGGATTCCCAGCTGCCTTCCCAGGTGTGGCAAGCAGCAAAAGGTCAGAGACAGGTCGATTGTGCAGTGCCTGCTACACAATACAGCCTTCAGGATTTTCACTTCAACTGCACCACTTAAATGCTCTGAGAGTGATGATACTTTTAAAAAACTAAACATGTTAAAAAGGATGATAACTCAATAATCCTTCTTTCAGGAGAAGGTGTTTAAGGGACAGGACAAAAGCTTTCACACAAGAAAGCCCAAGACCAGCTGGGAAAGGCAGTCCACAGACCAGGTGCTGACCATCATTCTTCTTCCCGCTATTACCCTTTTCTGCCCTCCAAGTCTTACCTGGCTTGTGTATCTCCCCTGCCCCCTGACATCAGAGCACCTTGCTGACACAGCTGCAGCTGGGGACAGAAGCACGAAGCTGATGACAGCTGGTCTTTGCAACCCTTCCATGCTGGCAGATGGTGGTGACCATCCCATTTAGCAAAGCTGGCTCAGGCACAGAGAGTTACTTTGTACCATTCATACTGCAGGAGGCAGCAGAAATAGCTCCTGTACTTCTAAGAGCTACACTGTTTTCCTCAGAGAAGTTCAACAAATTTCCCCAAGAATTCAAAGCCCTGGTTTAGGAATGGTATTCCCTAATTTAGTTCTCCCACTGGAAACCATGCTCTGCTCTCCCACTGCCTCATCTCCCCTCCCCTGGGGCAGGATGGAGAGGAGAATTGGAGGCAGAAAAGGTAAAGATCGTGAGATAAGAACAAACTACTGGAAACAGCAATGAGATAAGAAAATTTTCAGTAACAGCAACAATACTGATGACAGAGGGTGGAAGGGAGGTAGATTTACACATGGGTGCTCACTACATGAAACCCGGCATGCTACATGACCCAAAAGGATCCCCTGAGCTCAGAAAATGAGGTGATGTAGAATCAGCCCAGCTCCCAGACATGGCCTCCCTCACTACTGCAAAAATTAACCCTTTCCTGGCTGGAACCAAGACAAACCTTCTACTTACACACTAGGGAAAATGAAAAATGCAGCCTCTGGAGACAAAAGTTGAGTCAACACCAGTGTCATTCTTTCATTATTCCTACAGTCTAACAGCAATATGCAATAACCTATTACAAGACACTACACAGTGCATTCTCACTGTCCCATATTTTTGTTGCAGTATTGTGAAAACAACATCAACCACAAACCAAATACAAACAAACAAAACCTAGATTTAAAAAGTCCTCCAGTTCCAGGAAAGTCATCATTATTGGATTATTGGGTAAAAAAATTTAGATAAATAACTGATCCTTCACAAATTTCTTTTACTGGACTGATAATGAACTAAAAAAATATATTCAACCTAGAATATTTTTGTTGTAGTTAAGTTAAAAAATTAGAGTAGGACTAAATATAGACTTACACTTACATAATATGAAGGCAATTCGTTATACTAATCTCTGCTATATTATATTAAAAAATCCAATTATTGCCTATTCCCATTATAGAAATACAAGAGGCACATTGTCAAGGGAAAGAAATAGAAGTTTTCAGAGCTTTTTAAGTTTCATTTTATCCTTTTTATCTGCATCAAAATACCAATATTGTTAGTGATCAAAACTCCAACCCAGAGTAGCATACATTAACTTTCACAATGAAGCAGTAAGAGGTAGTAATCAGATAAGTATTAAAGGATTTATAAAAACTTTGTTTTAATTTTTATATTAAATGTCAGTTTTATTTTAAACAACCCAAACCTTGAAAAATATTTTTCAAAGTTTCTTGTGCTGAGATTATCTAATGTTTTGACTTTCTGGAAAAATACTGCAAAACAAACCTTACCAAGAAGGAGTCCTGGCAATGGTTCACATAATCATAGAATAGTTTGCATTGGAAAGGACCAATTATCTGGTTCCAATACCCCTGCCATGGGCAGGCACACGTTCCACTAGTACATGCTGCTCAAAGCCCCATCCACAGCCTGGCCTTGAACACTTTCAGGAATGAGGCATCCACTTCTCTGGACAACTTGTTCCAGTGCCTCATCACCTCCAAAGTAAAGGATTTCTTCCTAATATCTAAACCTACTCTTTTCAGTTTAAAATTGTTGCTCTTTGTCCTGACACTCTCTGGACACAGGAAAAAGTCCCTCTCTGTTTTAGAGCCTCCTTCAGATACTAGAAAAATAGTATCTCTGAAGCCTCCCTTGCCCTGCTAGCCATGCTGCAGCCCAGGATGTGGTTGGGCTTATGGGCTGTGAATGTACCTTCATCCACGAGAACTCCACTGTCCTTCTCTGCAGGGCTGGTCTCAGTGACTTCTTTTCCCAGTCTGTATTCACATTTGGGATTTTCCCTACCCAGATGCAGCACCTTGCACTGGGACTTGCTGACCTACATAATGTCCCCATGGGCCCACTCCTGGATGCCATTCTTCTGTTGTGCCAGCTGCAGAACTCAGCTTTCTGTCATCAACCCTGCTGAGGCTGCACTCACTCTCAGTGTCTGTCATCAATGAAGGTACTAAAGAGCATCAGTCCCAAGAGTGAGCTCTAAGGGACCCCACTCATCACCATCCACTACCTGGACATAGAGCCATGGACTACAACTCTGGCTGTGTCCATCCATCAGATCCATGTCTCTTCAATCTGGAGATCAGCCATGTCATGTGGGACCATATCAAAGGCTTTACAGAAGTCTGCATTGTGACATTTGTTGGTGTTCCCTGGTTGACTGTTGCTGTCACTCCACCATAGAAGGCCATATTGCTCAGGCACAATTTGCCCATAGTAAAGCCATGATGGCTACCTTGACTGCCCTCCTTGTCTTTTACTTGCCTCGGCACATCTTCTAGAAGGATCTGCTCCATGATCATCCCAGAGAGAGGTGAGGCACACTGGTCTGTAATTTCATGGTTCATCCTTTCTTCCCTTTTTAAAAATGGGAGCAATGTTTCCCTTTTTCCAGTCACTGAGGGCATCACCTGATTGCCATAACTTCCAAACACAACAACATCTGCCAGTTCCCTGAGGACCCTGAGATGCACATCAGATCCCACAGACTTGTGGCTATTCAGCTTCATCATCCCACACCTGATCTTGGCTTATAGTAGAAGGGACTTCCCACATTGTCCAGAGAAGCAGCACTTCAGAGAAGGGGAAAACCAGGAAAACTGTCTGCAATTAAATCCCAATATTGAGCCTGTAACTGCTGCTATGCTAAATATCACTGCACTGGTAACACAAATTCAGGGTGCAGCCCTGTCATGAATGGCAACCCTGCATATTCTTTTTATGATTCCCAGTGGGAAAAAGTCCTTAGACCTGCTGGTCCTTAGACCCAGCAGTAAAACAAGCTGATCCACAAAGCGGTAATTATGCAGAATATATTCTATGCTATTCAGGCACATACAACCATGTTTTTGGCAAAATATGAAAAGCATGTACAAAGGATAAATTATTGAAAGCTAACAGCATCGCGAGTATGCAGATTTTATTTGGAGTCCTCACTTTGTGCTTCATCTTCTCCAGTGAACTTATTTCTTGCCAAGTCCCTGCATCCCACCATTACCCGCTCCCTAGATGGCCCAAGATCTTCCAGCTGTTTTCTTTGTCTGGTTTCGAGTTCTTCCAATCGCTTGCCAAGCAGGGCAAGCTCTCTTTGATGCTGCTCCTCCTTGAAATTTAAAGGAAAAAAAAGTGTCTCTATTACATTTTACACACTTACAAGGGACCAAAATGACCAATACATTCATTTATTTACAGTTTTTATTTTCCTTGAAGAAAAGTCCAAAATATCTTTATTTGTTAAATTTTACTCATCAATGTTTCATGGGTATTGTTCTGTCATTTTTGATGAACTGCATCAGGAAGAAATACATTTGCAGATATTCCTCCTCTCAGATAAAGGTGCACACAAACCTGAAGTCTCAGTAACCATGAATCTGTAGAGTCAACCTGGCCAACCTCAGCCAGAGATATTTTCACCCTCAGCAGCTCAGCCTAAGATGCTTTTAACCACACAAGAAATCAAGAGCAGCAATACTGCTTTTTAATAATGAAACCATGGTGTGAGAACAACACTACCATTTTTTGCTCAGAAGGAGCCATTTAAAGTCTCTGAGGGGAATGACAAAGAATGGAGAACTGGCTTAAAACTACCCAGTTGTTAAATTCTGTAACATGTCCTTTTTCTTTCAAGAACTCCTTCCTATTGGAAGGAAGGGAACATCTCTAGGTAACTCAAAATTTCTGACTTGTGTTCAAAGATTAAATATGCCTTCCTTAAGACTAAGGTCAGTAAAAAAATCTTTCAATACCTTCTTTTGCTGTATTATTTTCACAACTTGTAATATTCCCCACCTGAAGAAAGGAGAAGGACGCTGCAGGCCCAGGAGGCAAGGCGGACGATGGCGTTACACTGACTGGATTGAGTGATGGTATGTCAGGATTCAGGATTATACTCCGGAATTCATTGTGCCGACGTTGCAAGTCCTTTAGCCTCTTCTGTAGACGAGCATATTCTTCAGAGGAAACATTCTGTCTAGGAAATAACAGATTTCTTATTGCTCAAGATCTCTGTTGTCCCAACAGAGCAGCACAGCTCTCCATGAGTGCTCTGCTGTTCAACACCCCCACTTTCTAGCTATCCTTACACACAGAAGAACTGGAAGGTAGATCTGTGTACATTCTTTTGCCTACATATCTGTCTAAATGTCCCTCTACATATTTAGCTATCTGCTCTATTATAGATTAGAGTTTACATATAATAAGCTTTTAATACCATTCACAGTAGTGAGTCAGACAAGCCACATTAAACTAATTGAATAAAAAAATTATTCAAATCAAGCCTTCCATAGGGACTCAATGAAGAAAGAAAAAACAGGACTTCATCTGTCAAAGAAGATGCCATATCTGTTTCTCTTGCAATTCTGAAGTCTTGTTCACTTACTTCTTTTAAAGGGATTCCTGCAACTGTGTCTATCAGGTATTTTTTCTCTTTTTCTTCTTGAAGAGACAGCCCTGCAGCTGTCTCATAAGCTCTCAGCTGCCCATCCTGAACAGAATCTATTCAAAGAATTCTAGTGCTGTAAAGGCCATTAGACTCTGGTTACTATTCTAAGTAACATGTATCTTCAAAAATACTTCATATTTCTAAGTCATACCTTGAGCATATGTAATTTTTCAAGCTAAGAAAAAGCGAAGTTTATTACCTATTTAACACCTGATTTTCTTTTTCTAGTTCTTCCATCTTGGCTTCCAAAAGTTCTATTTTCTCATGCATCCTCCTTTGTTTATTGTCATTGAGAGTCTTTCTCTGTCAAAGAGATGTTTCAAACAGCTAAGTAATACCTTAATAGATTAGATCCTGTAAAAATGAAATCTAAACTGTATGTGGTTTCAAGCTGTGACACTTCATAGGATTTTCCTTCCTTAAGAAGAGATGTGTTGTTTGAAGGTGCTTAGATTGCCATGATGGGAAGCAGAAGAGATGGAAATCCATAGTTGAGAATGAAAGAGGCACAGCTGCCAGTCACTTTGATCAGTGACCAGCTGTACTAACAAATATTACCAGTATCTGAGAATCACAATAGTCATCCTTTGAATGACCACATATAAATGAATAAAAGCATAATCAAAAAAATATGCTTCCTTTGTTTTTTGTTTGTTTGTTTTGTTTTGTTTTGTGGGTTTTTTGTTGTTGTTTTTGTTTGTTTGTTTTTTCTCATATTGATCTTAACTTTTCATTACTTTAAAAGATACTGGTAGGTTCATAACCCATGTTCAATTAATAACACTGCTAATTAATCTTGAGGTTTAACAAACACCCTGCCTTTCCTTCCAAACTATTTCATAAAAAGTAAGCTTAGGAGAAGAAATAAAGTTTTAATATTCCATCAAGGAAAAGTAGAACATCATTTGTCTGGTATCTAGTATCATCTTTCCTCATCAAGGGGTTTACCTCTTAACGATCAATGCACATGTCTGTGCAAAGAAAGTCTTAAAAAAATCTTTGATGGCATAATAACAAAGCTGTTGGTTGTAATATCTTTTGTGTGTCATTCAAACTATTTCTATGCTAATCTTGAAGAACACAATATATTTATTTATTATATACAGTAGACTGCAAATAAACTCTCAACATTGAAACTATTCTAGCTGGCCAACATAAAGTTGAACTTTACACAGGCTAGATCATTTAAAAAGGAAGAGACAACATGCCTTTTTCTGAGCAACAGCAGCTCGACAGAGCTTGTTCTTCATTTGCTTGTATTTCTCTTCATACTCTGTGATGCGCTGAGTAAGCATATGCTTCTCCTGCAGCCATTCCATACGTTGGTATTCTGAAGTCCTTTGGAAAAATCAGGTTACAAAATTAAGAGGATATACAAAGCAGTATGTTCCATTAATACCTTAAGGCTCTTAAAACGGATTCATCTTTTCACAGCTCCTACTTTTATATACATCAAGGATCTGACGTAAATTTGATTATATTAACAATCTAATTGTGATTACAACATTTGAACCTGTGCATTATTCTAGGATTTCTTCAACCACCAAATTTTGAAAACTGATTCTAAGAAGCTAATTGTTGGTGCCTTGTTGGATTGGCAAGCTGCCAAACCACCCAGAGAAAATTCCTCAATTCAGGTCAAACCATCACAGTGGAACACAACAACAGATGCCTATTCCAAACATCAGTTGTCAGAAGAGTTGACAACTACCTTCTCTGTTTAGGAGAGCAGGGTGCTGCCCTATGGGGTCTACTAAGTCTTTGTAACAGACTTGCTTAGGATGTGCACCCAACCAGAACAAACACCAGCTCAACAGGAAGCTCCTGCTAATATAGTTTCTAGACAACATTCCAGATGAACACACACCAAAGGCATATGTTATCCGTTTAGAATTTTGCATGGTTACAGCACACTAAAATTAGGCTGTGTTCTCTAGCAGCGTAAGGAAGGGAGCTGTTTCTCCATGCTGCCTTGTTTGTTTGGGCTACCTGCACTGTGAGTCAAAGCAGACAAGAACTAATGGCCTATTTATTTACATTACTTTTAAAAATTAAAATCAAATTGTGAGATTCTATGTAGCAGATTTTAAGAAGACCAAGGTTTGATATTAGTGTATCCACCACTACGCCAGTCCTGGGCAGATGCAGTTTCCCTACAGGGACTCTGAATGCATCTCCATAAACTTCTCACCAAACCTCCTATCCCTTCCTCACAGCAGAAGTATTGGGCATCATCCACTCTCACTTTGGGAAACAGAGTCCTGGCCTCTTTGTCATCTGTCATGACTCTTCTAGTTGACACAGCATGGCTTGTACCTCACTCTTGACTGTAAATAACTACTAGTACCCAGGAACCAAAGCACTTTGGATGAGCACTGCTTAGCAGTAAAAGGATTTCAGCTGAAGCAATGGTGAAAAATGCTTGAGTTGGGTGTGATGGTTTCTTGAGGTGTTTTGGGTTTTTTTGTTGTTGTTGTTTGTTGGTTTAAGTGCCACCAACATTGTTCCCAAAATGCTAAACAAGTCACTGTTTGAGCTTATCTCTGATCTGCATCAGTCTCATAGTTTGCCTTTAGCTTTTTTCCCCTTTCACATTTTCAAGCTTTTCACATTTCCAAGCTTTAAGATTGACACAGCCAGACATGCAGCTGATTTGCCTACTTATGCTCAATGCTAAACTGGCACTACTTACTGGAAACAGCAATGAGATAAGAAAATTATCAGTAACTTTATTTATCTCATATCTTTTATCTTGTTTTCTCATCTTTTGGTCCCTAGCTCACTTCCTCTTGCTTTGGTGCAATTTAACTCTTTGGTGTTCAAGCTCATAAGAATTTACTGAACTGAGGAAGGATGTTCTGTCACTCACAGATTCATAAAAACAATGGAAACATGACCCAAGGCTCCCAGGGTAGGAATGGCACAGACCTGCAGGACTCAACATGCAGGCTACAAAGCTGCTTCATTTCTGCAGTACCAGCCTTAGTGCATCTCTCAGTACCTACATACTTGTACAATGATCTCTAAGGACTGACAAGTTCCTTCCACTGTCTTCCCAGGAAAAACCTAGTCCTGACTGTTTTGTGATCCATAAATATGTAAATGAAAATGACAGTCTCATTCATGTAACAGCAACGGTCTCATAAATATGTAAGCACACCTCCCTAAAGCAAACATCCAAAGTATTTAATGTGCTAGTGACATACTCTGCAGTCCAAATCCAATAATATCTTCAAATGCTAAATTAAAAGCACTACTTAAACTAATGACAACATAGCAATTGCAGTACCAATTAGTAGCAAGAGAGATGTTAAAACAAAAAGAAGTTACATTATACCCTTTGGAAGCTTTATATTTAATCTGGGATACTGACTTTTTAAAGCACCCACCACACAATAATCCAGTACTAGTTAGACAAATATTTGGTTACTAAACTAGGAAGTTCTGTAAAGCCATTTCAGACTGACAAATTAATCTTTAAATTCCAGAAAAGTGTTTATTTCTATATGGAACCTGAATAAAATTTGGCTTCCTTCATCATTTATTGTCATTCTTTGATGGTATGCGATCAAGCTTTTCCAAAAAGGAAAACGATGAATTTTAATTTTGATGAGAGGAATTGAAGATATTCTATAAGCTTTTACTTCCTCATATCAGCTAAAAGTAGCTAGTGGGAAAGGGAAAGAAATATTCACACATACTGACTGGGACCGTGGAGCCTTATCATGCATAATACAATGCTTGAATGCTCTCTTCACACATACAGCTTAAACACTCTTAAAAGAACTGTCTGAATTGTCTGATCCTTTTATACCTATAGAAGTTTGACACTCACTACTTTAGTGAGTTTCAGGATTCAGTAAATAATAAGTAGAATTTCATTTTATGCAAGCAGGGTATCTCACTAATCAATAATTAATTTTAACAGATACAAATGGAAACAAACTCCTGTTTTTAAAGCTGACATGAGGAAAGCTTTTATACATACTATGCCACAGAATGTACAGCCATTTTTTACAACTGTCCAATATTTCCTGTTCATTTTAACTTTTGGACTTTATTCAGAATCTACAATCCCCAATGAAGTAATCCACATGAAAAGAACAAAGGCAGCATGAAAAGTAAAGCCAAAAGAAAAAAATTACTTCTCTGTTTCCAGTTGAGCTTTCTCTGCCTGAGCCCTTGCATGTTGACATTCTTGTTTCAATCTCTCTATTATTTCCTTCAACTTCTGATTAGATTCCAGCAAATCCTTTTCTGATTGAGAAAGTGAGGCAAGCTGGAGTTGGATATCATTTATTTGCTACAAAAACAAAAAATATTTTTTCAGTTTCAGAAGGTATGCAAATAACCAACAATTGATTTTGAGATACTGAGATAATGCAAAATGGAGACACCAACTAGCTTTTGCTTTTCATTAGTCTGTTTTACTTGTTTGTTTTCTCTTTACTCAACAGTTTCTTCAGAAATTTTACAGTAAATCACTATGTGACAAAGGGTTTCTATTGTAATTAAAATAAGAAAGATAGGCAGGACTCTTCTGCCACTGAAGTGTCCTCCAGAACTTCAGAAATACAACACTTTCAGCCCCAGGGCCGAACAGAACTCGAGGACCATGAGTTCTGTAGGAGCAGAGCTGTGGAGGTATCCAGGCTCTTCTGTCTCATAACACATAGCCAACAGTGACTGTACTGATGAGTTCACAAAAGAAGTGAAAAGTCCGACCTCTGCAGCCAGCATATACAAATGGTCATTTCCATTTCCTTTTCCTCCCTCCACATGGACACTTAGATCCCTCAATTTCTGATTTCATGAGGAAAGAAATAATTGTCTCGAACTTCAAGCGCACACAGCTTGCAGAGTACTTTAATGCACAGATATTGTTATTACCTACTAAATGCCATCACAGGCAAGCAGGAGTTAAAAAAAATAGGTTTGATTTTCAACACTGCCATCAATTGACTCTGCAATAGAAATATACCTCTTTACACTAGTTTGTTCATTTATGAAACATCTGTTAAACACTTGAAAAACCTCAGATGAGAGATGCAGTGTAAATGCAAAGCATTACCTAGAAACAATTTATAAGTCTCCATGGCAACTGAATCTCCAGTTAAATAGTGCATAACCATATTCAATATACCAGTCCATAAACATTCAGCTTTGAAATCCCTGTTACCCACAAAACACATGAAGCAAAAAACTGTAATCCATTTATAGAGGTCCAAGAAAGCACAATTGATTTCTGAACACTTCTCCTTTAAATATCTGAAGTACACATTTCATCCTTCAAGGGGAAAAAAAAAAAGCCTTAAAATTCAATCTAATCTTCAAATACAGGACATGGTAACTACAGGAAAGAATGTATTTCTCTATAAAGCAATGCAATAAAACCATACCTGTTTCAGATTAGCATTTTCACATTTCTTTTCTTCCAGCTCTTCTGTCTGCATAGCCTGCTGTTGAATCTTTAATCTAAAATTGTGTAAGACATCCTTATTTTTATCTAATCAAAATAAAGATGCTATAAATTAGGACAAATCAGCCTGACAAATAAACAGCATTATTTGAAAGGCTGATACATATTTAACTAAAAAAGTATTAAAATATATATTTCTATTAATTCTTAGAACTCACATAGGAATAAGACTTTTGAAGTGTGATTCATTTTATCACGCTGACCTTTAACTATAGTAAGCCAAGTAAACTCCCAACCATAACAACCGATTCAGAGATACCATTTTAGGATCTCAGCTTACCAATTCCTGCTATGGTGCCATTGTGGAATGAGAAATGGCTTACTCTAACACTGGGGCTATGCCAGCAGCCAGCACTTAACTAGTTCTAACAAACATGTATTGCCAAATTATTACTTCAAAATGGCCGTTGAAAATAACACTTAAAGGTTTGGATGAAAAGTATTATCTTTTCAAACAGTTAATTTTTAATTCTGCACCCTTTTTTACATAATGCAAAAGATAATTTTGTTTAATCTACACTAATGAACACTTCATAATGAAGATTGCTGTATCTATGAATAGAAAGTTTTTATACTGTCTACTGTAAAGACATTAAGGAGGGAAAATAAGAAATTTGTGCTAATATTAGAAAAGTCATGCTACCGCAAACGTTGAAGTTCCTTTTTGCTAGATTCTTCTGCCATCTGCACAGCACGTAGTTTCTCTTCATACTGATCCTTTTCAGATTGTCTCCAAGAATCTTGCTCCAGTTTCATCTTCTCTAGATCAGCTAATCTGTTCTCGAGTTCTAACCTAAAACATTATTCAACATGCACACAAGAATCACTGCAAAATGCCAGAAGTGTTAAGAGTGATATTTTTAAAAGTCTCACAAAACAGTCCTCTTTTAGAAACCAAGGAGGAAATCAGTAGACATACTTTTCATTCTGTAAGGCTGCAATATTGTCAAAAACTTCCTCTTTGGCAGCTTGCACTTTACGAATTAGCTCCCGATCCTTTTCTACTAAAAGCACTTTATGACGTTCAACAGCTGCAGTAAGAATTTCCTTGTCAGACAGCAATCCTGCATTATACATTAAAAAAAGTTAAACATGTCATTATTGATAAGAATCTGCTAGGATTCTATATTCAAATAACTATAAATTCACAAAAGGGAACTAAAAATCTCAATTCAAATGATAGAATGAATGGGGGAAGGCGGAAAAAAACAAAACACAAGAAAACAAGAAGAGACCTTTCTTAGTATAAGTTATATTTCCAAAACTTTTGAAAAGTAACCATTACACTGGAATAACAGTCTACAAGAGTTTCTTACTTTAATAAATGGAAGTAATTAAACAGTTGATATTATTACAGATTTAAACTCCAGAGCCCATTGTGAGATGCTCTGCCCAGTGGGGAGGAGCTAAGCATTCCCACCTAGATATATTCTGGGATTTTTAGACAGAGAAGCAGCCTTTCTACAGGTTCCCAAGAGGACACAGCTGGGGTTTTTCCACTAGACCAACTACACCTTCTCTAGAGGACCACTGCACAAACAAAAAACACATCTGCCACTCCAGGAGGACTTCAGCCACTCCAATTTGGACTGCTATTGACACGCTGGCCAAAGGGGTGTCACGTTGTATTCTGACTTTGTCAGTGGTTTTCCTTTTGTATTTATTGCATGTATTTTGTTTCTTTTCCCTTTTCCCAGTAAATTGTATTTCTGACTTGGAGTCTCTTCACTAGTTTTGCTTTCAAACCAGAGCAGTGTTCCACAACACCTATGCAAAGGTCAAGCAAGAAAATTTTCATTGGAAAAGTTTACAGTAAACAGAAACTGGTTGTCAGTGAAACCAATAACTGGGCTACAGCAAATCTCACATTTTAATCTACCTATATTACCAAACGAGGCATTTCTAAAACTATGACTTTATAGGCAGGGACAAATTATACAAACTAAAATCTTGGAACTGACACCCATATTCACTGGCAAATAAGCCAACATGCTCTAACAGTGACTCCTGGTTATTTAGCTAATTCAGCAATGCAAATGGAATTCCACAGTAAGTTCAGGTTAACTTAAATCTTGTCTGTATTCAGTTTCATATTTCATAGGATCCGACATTTCTAGTTTGCAATACACTGTAAGTATATTGTTAATACAGAAAACACCACTTTTTTGTTGCTCTTAGCAGACTTAATATTAAAGCAAGTGAACAGAAATAATTATTTCAGGAAGACAAAGGTAATATTTTGGGCCTATGGCCAAATAGTGGGGACAGTTCTCTTTAAAACTGTAATTGTGTATTTGTGTGATTTATACAAAACTAGGACTAGAACATTTTGGCCTTTTCACTCTAGAAAGCTATTTCAAGTTGTCTACATACTCAGTTGCATCAGGTATCTTAGAGCAATGCCTGTTTCCTTCAAAGAATGAGCTAGGTACTGTATTTTGTTTCATGTGGCAGCCTTACGGAATTGGTATCAATTCCACAGACACAGAATCAAAAAAACCCAACCATTGAAGCTGTGTGGCACAATACGGTTTCACCCAACCATTGAAGCTCTGTGGCACAATACAGTTTCAAGCAGAGTATGAAAGACTTGAGAATTTAGCAATAATAGAAAAAAATAACTATATGAAGTACATAATTTGAAACAGATTATGCTCAAATTGTGTCATAAATGCATTTATCTACATCAATGATAAACTGCTCTTAGTTGTTCTTTGCCTAGTAGAGCAAGTGAAACAACACAATTATTTCAAATACCAAATGAATTGTCAGATCTATGACCTAGACCAGAAGTAGAAGCTGAAGACTGCTGGGGAGTGGTCAGAGAAAAAAATTGTTGTGTTATTCTAACTGAAGTAAACAGATTAAATAATTACAAAATAATTTCATACTTTACCATCCATTTCACTTTGAATCTTGTTTCTTTCTCTTTCTACTTCACTTTTTGTTCTTGCTGCCTCCAGTTTGACATTTGTTACTTCCAACTTATGCGAATGTTTAAGTTCTTTTACCTATGAATTAGAAAAAACGATAATTAAGTATAGTAAATTTTTATATATTTACTTCACTTCTGACTAAAGATACCTCAGAATCAAGCTAAAATAAAATTAAATTTAATCTCCACAAGTAAATCAAAACAGTGATATCCAAAATCAGTATATTAACTCCTTCCCCGAGTAATAGTCCCCCCGGCTTCCTGGAATGCTACATTACTTTCTCAAAATCCAGGTCTTCATAGTTTTAAAGTGCATTTTAAATCAAATACTGCTCTACAGACACATCAAATGGCCTCATAAAAGTAGGGGCTTTAAGAACATCAAATCAAGGAAAATTACTGCTTGCATGGAAACTTTCTATAGTTTAGGCATTTGAACGCAGTAATTACACGGTCAATGAGAATTAAATATCTGGAGGAAAGCACTTATAATGAAAATCCATTCATAATGACAAATGCAATTACAACCTGCTAGCATATACAAGTGGCAAAAGGTTAAGAATGACACAGTAGCTTATTAAGTAACTACACGGAAGATTTAGTTGCTTATATATCAAGTTGATAACATTTCAGGGCAACTTGAAAAGATTTAAGGTGGCTTTTTTAAGGCAGAAAATCCAGAAGACAAACATGCACCTGTGCTTAGGAATAGGTCTGAGTGGGGGCAGTAGCAGGTGGAGATTAGTGTAGTAAAGCTTCTATTTTCCTCCTTTTGAGAAATATCACTGTAACATTTTATTTTGTCCTGCTTGTGGAGGGGATCAGAGAAGACAAATTGATACAAATAATAAAGACTGTACCAATCTTTGATATATTGTGTTAAACAATTGAAACATGTTTACCAGAATTTTTTCCCTCCTATTTAGCATTCATGGTGTATTACCTAAAGAGGCTTTAAATAGTGATATAGCTATACCTTATTCCTGTGGAAAATAAGATTTTTTTTTTTTTAATGAATGACCAAAATTAAATACTTAGCACTCATAAATATGCACTGTAAAAATATCTGAAAAGAAAAAAAAAGGAAAAGTGTACAAACATAGAACAAAATCTCTAAGATCTGGTGCCAACCCAACAAAGTTAACCAAATATATATTAAGACAATGGTCAACTTAAAATGCTGTGATACAATTCTGTACCGAAATGTTTATGTACAAGCCATACTGGCATTTGCCCAAGAAAAAGGCTTTGCAAACTTGATTACCCTGCTTTTAATATAACCTAAATCCCCACAAGTAACTCCAATGCAGCTTGCTTCCTGTAGCTAACACAGCCCATTCACAGGATAGTTTTTAAGACCTCTAGAAGCCATGACTCCATTACAAAAAAAACCAAACAAGACCAACAAAAAACAAACAAACAAACAAAAAAAAAACCAAAGCAAAAAACCAAACAAACAAGAACAAAAAAAGAAAAAAATTAAAATGTTAGTTTAAAGCTCTAAAGGTTAATTGTTTTCATGAACATTAAAACCATGAATATAAAGATACTTCACAAGCCTTGTTCTGTTCAGGAAAAAGATTTAGAAGATGGAATAATAAACATAACCTCACTCTTCAGAGATACTTTTATGTATGACATTTCTCTTGTAAAGTCACATATTCTTTGTCTTTCAACTGGAACTGAGGGAAAACTTCCATACCTATTTCAAGTCACAGCAGAAGACATTGTTACTTTATTCTTAGTCCAAAATATATTCAGGAAAACATAACAGGATGTGAAAACCATTTAAGATACCATAAAAGTACTTACTTGTGCAGTTAAGGAATTGACTTCTCGTTCACATTTGTGAAGTTTGCTAGTTAAGAGAATGCTTTGCTCATGACTTGTCTGCAGTTCCTTCTCAATGCGATCAACCTGCAGTTCAGCAGACTTCTTTTCTGCCTTGAAGGAAGTTTTAAGATTTTTGGAGCTGGGTTGCCTCTTGTTACATATTTGAAATATTTGATTGATCTGGGCTTTCATATGTTACCATCTTGTTAATAATAATAACAACACAGTAACATATAATATGATATATAAATTTCATCTTTGCTCAACCATATATTCCAATACAAGTGTCTTGAATTTTACTGAAAAGTCACAACTATTTTTACTAACAGGATATTACTACACACTACTATTACTTTTTATTACTGCTACAACAACAACTACTAGTAGTAATATTACTATTACTACTACTATTTTTACTACACAGAATCACTCCCATTTTCAATCCTCCTTGATAAGGAGTGGTGGAATCTGACTTGGTTAGGAGGCTGCAGGTGTGCTTACCAGTAAATTACTGGTAAACAATGTAACTACATATGATGTTATATGCTGGCCTATGCATTCATACTGACAGAAGAATTAACATCCTGGAAAGGAAAAAAAATGCAATTACTGCATTACAGACTCCGATCTTTACAAGACAAGACCCTGATCTTTACTGAATATCAAATCTAATACATGATTTCACCTTCCTTTTTCTAAACACTTCTGTTTTCAGCAAGGCTCTCTTTAAAGCTGTCTAAGAAGATTACAGCACTTTTTAAGTTGAGATCAGAGCATTTTGTAATTGAAGTATACAGCACTGATAATAGTGAAAAAGAAAATGAACCATCTATCTGCATGCTGCAACTGTGTGAAGAATCTAGATGAAAAGGCTTACTACCTAGAGAGATAGCAAGGACTGACAGAAGGTCTGAGGATGACAGATGAGGAATACAGTGGAAAAGTGCAACAGCCCAAAAATACCAAGGAGAGCAACAGGGAGAGCAACAGCTGAGTACTAAACAGCTGCAGTAATGTGTTGGATAAAGAAGACGCATTGGTAAACAAAAAAGATGACAGATGAGGAAAGGATTAAAGAGAGGAGCATCATGTGACATTTCTGAAAAGAATAAAGAATTTACAGCAGCAGATTATTAACATATTGGTTTCTAAGTCCAGCTAAGTGGCAAGTGCTGACATGATCTTCTTACTGACTACAAATACAGATGTGACTCTTGTTTAGAAAGGAGATCATTCAGCAGTATCTTTCAGGTGAGAGACTGCCCAAAGTTGAACTGGCAGTGTATGACTCCCAGTCAACTACAGTTTGATTTTAAATCTGAAATGTAGAAATTCAAATTGTGGAGTCAATGTCAAAATTATCAGTGATTTCAGTGACAGTTCTGTCAGGCCAAGTGTTATTCTTACTACACTCTACAGGGAAGGAAAATAATAAAATAAAAATCTTACCTCTAGAGATCGCATCATGGTCTGCATCTCAGACAACTGTCGTGCTTGTACTCTTTGAACATTTTCTGCTTGCACAACACAGTTGTGTCTTTCTGCTCTTAGTTCTTCTACTTCTGCTTCTAAGGCTTTTAGTTTCTGACACAGTTGTGCCTTTTCTCTAGAAAGTGCCTCCACACGTTTACTGTCCCTTGTGGGATCAATGCTAAGCAGCTGATTGTGGAGTTCTTCCTTATCTTTATCCAGTCTTGCAATCTGATAGTTGTTAATCAGGAAAATAAAAAGTTCTTACATTGGTTAGGTGTCAGGCAGCAACAATTACAGTAGTTAACAATTCAGAAAAGAGCAGCAGTGGACATTTAAACATTAATTTGTTTAGAGTAGGAAATTCAAAGCAAGACCACCTGAATGCCTGTAATTAGTGTGGACTTTTTGAGAACACTACAGAGTGCAACAGTGACTGATGTCCTTATTTGCAAGCTGGATGATGTCATGGAGTCACTTTCAGCAAGCTTGAGTGTGACACCAAACTGGGGGAAATGGTCTATCTGTTGGAAGGCAGAACTGCTACCCAGAAGAATCTGGACAAGCTGAAGGAATAGACAGAACTGGATCCTCTTCAACAAGAAGAGCTAGACATGCATCTGAGATGGAGTAATCCAATGCAACAGTACAGGCCCATAGCAATTGTCTAGGAAGCATCTCCATGGAAAAGGATCTGGGGTTCTAGTGGACAACAAGCTAAACATTAGTCAGCAGAGCATCCAATCCAATCCTGGCAGATTGGCAGAAGGAAAACTAGCAGATCCAGGGAAGTGATCCTTTATCCCCTTTCCAGTACTGGTAAAGCTGTATCTGGAATTTCTGTCAGGTCCAGATGGTCTCTAAAATGTTCAGAGGGTTGGGGAATATGATATATAAGGACAAGCTCAGAGAAGTAAGCCTCAGTTCAGAGAAGAGGATGCACAGTGATGGGATGAGAGGCAACAGGCACAATTTGGAACATGTGAAGTTCCAATTACATATTATGAAAAAACTTTACCATGAAGATTGTTAAATGCTAAAAGAGTCTGCCCAGAGAAATTATGGAATCCCCATCCTTGCAGATGTTCAAGACTTGGCTGGACATGGACCTGAGCAACCTGATCTCATTACACTCCAATATTTTAAACAATATTTTGGACTATAAAGAGTCTCTTCCAACTTATCTTATGATTCCACTATCTTATAATTACAACCGAACTCAAATGTGCTAATAACTCCAGAAAGCCAACATGACTGACAATAAACCTGACAGACAATAAACCAAAAAAGAAACAAACAAAAACCCAAACCAAAACACAATAACAATAATGAAAACCCCAGCTCTCCCTTATAAAGTAGTACAAAAGGGACAAGCCAATCTGGAGACTGTAACTAACAAACACATAAATTCATAGATTGTTACATTTCAAAATAAGTTACATGGACTGAATATAACAGCGGGAGCAAAAGAGCGTGAAAGAAAGGCATGCAAGAATTCTCTCCATATTTGGAGACTAGTCAAAAACTCTGATCTGCAGCAGTCCTTTTAAAAGTTTCACCAACAATCTGATTTCTGGAGCAAAAACCTTCCAAATGCCTTTTTTATGAGGAGACTCAATTGCATGATATGCCCAAGCCAGCATTTAAGAATTAGGATGTTTTTATAGCCTCCTTATGCAAAATGACATGGAATGTTAAAAAGCCTTTGAGAGAAACCAGATCACACTGTGCCCTGGGCTCAAGGTAGTTGTATTATGTGTAAGTGTGCTAATTAGCTGCAGGACTAGCAAAACTCAACAAGCCCATGAGAGAGGCAAGCTGTAAAGCAGCATGTGGGTTTAGCTCCAGGAAGGACAACTGTTCTGTTTTTAATGCACTACATTTGCAAACTTGGATTGATTTTGTAAGTGATGATTGCTTTGATTTGTGTCTGATGTTTGGAGTAATACATTCAAATCTGGCATCTTAGAATATATGCTTCCAGACAAATATTTAAATGGTATGCAAATGCATCTGCAACTCATTTACAATGATGTATATATTTAAAACATAAATCGGCTGGCAATTTATTTAGCTACATACACTTTCAAAAGTCCAAAGAAATGAACGAATGGTTTCTTCAGGAGCTAATACAAATGAAATAAAGTCACCAAAGTTTTCAGTGCCTTTTTGATTATCACTATCTTGTTTCAAACTAAGATCATGACAAGTACATTGCTAAATGTGCCCTTTTCTGCTATTAACAATATCTCTTCCTCAAGAAGTTGCCACGTAAGTAATTTAAAGACTAAACTTATATTGGTTACTCAGATAATTTATTAATTTCAGATTAGCATCATGTCACAAATCACAAATGTGATTAAAAACATCATTAAGCTAACATACTGGCAGTCATTTACCAGAAAGCAAGTTATTCTTACTTTTAATAGCAGAAATAATATTGCAACCCATCACTGAACAAATCTACAGAGCAGCCTTAGGCTAAGTCACAGAAGTGCTTTGAGAATTAAGAGTAAAGAAACAAACATGAAATGGAGTCAAACTGACAACCCTTCAAGTCCCAACAGTTCCACAGTGTTCAAGAAGCTTTGTCAGAGATACTGTCTAAGCTACTATTATATTCTACGTACCTCAGCCTCATATTTTATTTTCTTCTCTTCTAAAATATGTGCATGTTCTTCCTTTTGATGCTCAAATTCCGATTTCAGAAAAGTATGGTCATAACGAAGTTTGTTATATAGTGTTCTATATTTTTCTACTTCCTAAGTTAGACCAAAAAAAAAAAGTTTTCAAATGTATTTCCTTTAAAGGTCCATGCAATGTTCCTATTGTTTCACAAGTTATCTTTGATGAACTGAATGCCACCTCCTCCCTCTTCCATGATTTCAATCTTCCCTGCCTGGGACAACAGTACTAGAGAATTAATGCCATACTTTGTTCCCCTTTCAGTTTTAATTTCCTAAGGTTTTAGGAAGAACTATAAAGCAGTGATCATTACCCTAAATAAAAAAAAAAAAATTCAATTACTTACATTTTCTAGCTTCTGATAACGTTCTCTCATAGGAGACTCCAATTCCTCATATATTTTTGCTTTTAACCGTTCTAATTTTTGAGGAGTTAGCACCTTAAAACAGAAAAGTACCACAAGTGATTAGTCATAATCAGTTATTTACACCGTGATAGGTCACATAGCCAGGAAAAAAGTATTTAAAATATGATTTTTGGAATTGTACTTAATTCTCTATGTTTTTCAAAAGAAATTTCAGTAGTAGCTACAGAAGCTAAAAAGTATTAGAGAACTAAAAATATTCTGAGAAGATAGCAGAAGCATTTGGAATGTCAGCATTTAGCAAGAGAAGCAACACAAATTGCAGGCTGAATTGCAAAGAGATTTAACTCCTTTATGGAGGATGGGGGAAGAAAAAGCAGTCTCACATAAAAGATAATAAATTAGTGTCTAACAGTAAGTGAACCAACCCAAAAAGATCTAAATGAGCAACACAAAACAATTATTGCAAAACATATTAGTGTGTGTTCTCCAATGGATACATGGGTACTGGTTTGAATGAAAAACACTATCAGGAAAGATTCCTTGCCTTAAACTCCATTCTGAATGGTATTTTGTTAAAATTACTTAGTTCACCAAGAAACAGAGTTTAAAACAAAAAAATTCATCCACAATTGTGACAGACTTATTTATTCTACTTTTCTTTCACTTATCTGTACTCTGAAGTCCCTGGAAACTAGTTCCAGATATGGTGCTGAGGTGCATTTCCTCCTTTCGGAGTCTGGGATCCTTTGGTTAGAAATTATATTTGTTTCCTAATAACATGTCTTGCATTACTTTAAGGAAACAATCAGTTGCATAGAGTGCCACCCAAGTTGCCTTAAATGTTGAGGAGGTTTTTTATTGATTTTGGTTTGGGATTTTTTAAGAAAAAGAAAGAAGAAACTGGTCATCATGAAGAGAAACAAGTATCTATTTTTCTAGTCACTTATCCTAATAGGTTTAGGCACCTAAGTTACCCTCCAAGACAGATGATTCTCCCCTTAACAGCAGAGCAAGCACAGACAGAGATGGAGAGTCTTATACAGCATCTAACAACAGGATTTGGATGATTCAGCTAAACAAGCAAACAGTAATTTCAACCCATAGTCACTCTAGAGAAGAGCCACTACTTGGACTGGGTGAATTTGAAGACATCTGAAATACATCCAAGCTGGGTATATGCATGCTGCATTAACAGAAAAACATGCATGGCCCTACTACATGATAAAAATACATACCAAGTCCTTCCAGTAAATTATCTCACCTGCTGCTTCACTTGTTCCAGCTCTTGTGTTTTAGCCAGCAACTGCTCTTGAAAGTCAGCAAGAAGCTGCTGAAATTTGTCATGTACAGCCTGTTTTTCAACTAACAACCGTTTTAGTTCATCTTGTGATTTGGTATAATCCTCTTGTAATCTGAAAGATAAAATATATATTTACTTTATATTCACCTTTTAAAATTAGACCTTAAAGCTCAAAAGACTCACACACAAAAGCAAACATACAGACACCAAATAAGAACTAAGCTATTAATACCCTCTTTCTGTAATATACTGAAAAGTTATCCCATACTTATAAACATAAAAAGTGCTGCAGAAGCATCATCTGCAATGTCTTAAAGTACTTTGAATTCTTTTCTAATATGAACGACATTCAAATCTGTCATTACACACAGAAATAGCTGACACACATCTCACACATACAAATAAATCCCTTCCAACATCCAGCTTTACCTTTTAATAACTCAAAGAGAAAAATTTGTTTAAATTGATGTACCTTAGATGTTCTGCCCTTAGAGTTTGATAATTTGCTTTGTGGTGCTCACTTCGCATTTTTTCATCCATCAAAAGTTTTAGTATTTCTTGTGAATTAGCTGCTTCACCACTTTCACCCACAAGAGGAAGGAGGTTGCCCAAATCATCCATTGTATGAGGACTGTTCATGATGAGTATGGAGAAGACAAGATTAATGTATAACTAATCTTCAAGACCACGCACTCGTTCCACTGACATCTCAGAAGATCAAGACACCTGAACAAATATAAGGACGTGTAATTAGCATTCAAGTACATTCACAGCTCAAAGGTTTCACACACTGCTTTTGCTTTAAGTACAGAAGAATCCTGGTTCTGCTGTAACACAGATTAGAAACCCTTACTGAAAGTGCAACTCTTCTCTGCTCGTGCAGCCTGCCCTGAGAAGTAATAGCTCTTCCAGGGGCATAGAATACACTTAAACATGAAGGTCATTTGAGTCAATACAAAATAAGAACAAGCACTACTATCTGAATGATTACATGATGTGTTATTTTTACTTACACTATACACTGAGACTCCAACTATGATGCCCTAATCATGCCTTTTTAATAAAAGTTCAAGCAGAGGTCACAGACAGCAGACACACAGCTTTTCTTACTACTTTTTAATAAAGTCTGTTTCACTGTCCTAACATGCTGTATTAATCAACACGCCAGTATTTCAGCTGGAAGAAAAGCAGATAATTCTCCATTGAACTCCTATCAATTCCCTCTGGAGAAGAGTTAAGATATTAGGAACAGGCTAGAAGACATCTGTCCACAGTTCAGTTCTGAAATATGTCACTTCCTTATTTTCAAAGCTTATCTTGTGGTTTCTTGTGACCTTTCCTGAAAGACTTTTCCAAAATGTGATAATATCAGATGGGTGAGAGGAAAGCTGCAAATCAAGAGTTCATGCGAAATAAGGAAGTATTCCAATATGCCTCATTTGTGATATTTGATATTTGAAGCAATAGGTATTAATCTGATCATTATTGACACTTCTACAGGATCTGGGGGAGGGAGGACTGTAACTGAATTTTAGGGAAGTTACAAAGTTTTAAAAACAACTACTCTGCCATTTTAGCTTTTTGCATAGCTGGACTGATGTCTAAGAAGTGCATATCTGCTGTGTGCAAAGTGTACCTCTGTACAAAGTAAAACTCAAACAGAAACAGTGATAAATCTCTACCATCACTACAAATACCTCACCTACTTTACATGCACAGTTGCATGCATATTTTCTACCACTGCACTCTTTCACGGATGTATCTTAAACACTTACAATTTGATTTTATAAACTCCTGAACTATAAGGAAGATGAAAATCTGTCTTCAATACTGGAAAAAAAAACACCCATTCCACTAAGACATGATAATGTCAAGAAAAGGTAAATGTAAGACTTTTTTTCCCATTTTTCCTTCCTCCATTCCTAAAATAAGAAAAGGTCAGAGAAAAATCTACCACTTATTACATCAGTCTAAGCAAAGCAACAACAGCAAGCTGGTATTCTGCTTTACCCAAAATTGCTGAAAGAATGAAGAAGAAGAAATCAGAATAAAGAACATTCACCTCTGTGACTGTCCTAAATGCACAGTCAATTTCAAACATTAATGACACATTTTGAAGACCCTTCTAATCAATACAATCTCTTTTTCATCCCTGAATTTTGTTGGCTGATGAGAAACAAAGGACAACAGCAATTTTCAAACTCAATATAAAGACATTTTCAATTGTTAAACCAACAGCTGGATGAGGAAAACAGGTCAGTGATGCTAAAGACAATAAATCATGTGAGAAGAGAGAAAGCTCTGGTACACAGAGAAAATTCAAGGCAGCATGTCCCAAAGAATTTCTAAGCATATCAACAGGGTTAACAGGATCACTATTAAAAACAAACAAAAAGCACACACAAACAATAAGAACAAACCAAAACAACAAACCAAACCAAAAAAAAACCCCAACAATCACACAATAGCACTTTGCTTTCATATGCTACAGATACTAAATGTAACTATCAAACTGTAAGCCAAAGCTCAGAATTAAGAACACAGCATTTAAAGCTGGGTCTGAATCCTGCTGCTTACTTGAGTAAGAAGTGGCACAATGGAGATAAAGTCAAAGACACCGAGAAAACTGTATTTTCTGAGACAACGTCAGCCAAGATAAGCTGTAACACAGCCTTTTGTACTCTCTATTCCAAGCTGCTGCAGGTGAGAAGTATATTCTCTCTGCAGCTTTCGTTACTATCAAAAAGTGCACAAATTACAAAGCAAGACACACACCTGGCCATGTATTCATATGCATGAAGTTTTCATGAAAAAGATAAAAGGAGACGAGAGAGGGAGATAATTGCAGCTGACAAAACAATGCTCCAGACTGCAAAAACAAACCTGTTGTATTTAAGGAAACAAAACTCTTTTGGCTTGCAGGGACATCTAGCGGCAAAAGTAACGATCTGCATTCCTGGTGACAACCGTGAAACAGACACCAGGGATTTCACTACCTCATGAGAGCTCTTTCCTCGAAAACACAAAGAGCAATTTGCAGCATTTAATCTATTCACATGCAAAAACTTTTTTTCTTGTTTTGGAGTTCTTTTTCAGAAGTTATCACAAAACAATTTCTGGCAGCACACTGCCAATAGTCAACAACATTTAGGGATACAGATACTTCAAGTGTATTACCAACCAGAATCTCTTCTGTGCTAACAGCTAACAGTAGTTGCTCACATTCAGTGAACAGCCCTTAAATAATCTTCAAAATTACACATAGACCACACGCATAATTTTTGAGAAATACTTTAAAAAAATACTGGGTTCTTCCTGCCTTGGAGATGTGTGCAAGGAGTGGAGAAACATAAAACATACTTTAAAGAAAGTAAACCTGCCATATCTAAACTTAATTCTGCACCTACTTATATGCCAAATTTTATCAAGCAACCAAACTGCAAACTTGTATCAGTCACCCCAAATTCATACTATGAAACCTTAACATAATTTTCCACAGATAAAAGTGGCATTGGTGCAGAGTCCTGAAACCTAGGAAATGCACACTCTATAGGTAAAATGGTAATACTTACTGTAGTACAGCTAAGTGAAGTAAATCAGTTACATTTCCAAGAATCACCTTTGTTTTGCCTTTCTTCTCCAATTTTTTCTCCTCTTCAAGAGAGAAACACTGCTGAATGACCTACAATACATCTCTCTTCTTTATAGCTGCACATCATGAAAGGGCTTTTCTTTTGCAAGATTTTTCAGTTATATTATTTTAACTTTTTCTTTGCTACAAGCTCTTCAAAGTGAAAATACTTGCATTTAGAGAAAAATATTATATATCAATATGATTTTATTATTTCTTTGAATTTTTATGGCATTTTGTTTACAACAGCAAGGCTTCCTTCTTATTCACCTGGCATAACCAAATGACATGACTGCACCATGTATTGGTAATTCCCCTGAGTACCATAGATAACTCACTCATGGCTCTCTTTTCCATGCCACACTTACAACACTTACATTTATCGTGTTCAAATGCAGTTTTAAACAGCTAGATGATACAATTAATATAATTTTTCAATGAACTAAAAACTTGATAGTATTTAGCCTTGTGCCAGGTTTTGCTCAAGCAGTAAAATTTTCAGTAAAACCTGTGAAAGTCAAAGAGCTTCTTCACACAATTCATGGTCTAATTCCTCTGCCTGCTTCTGTCATAACTCCAGACCTCTTTATTTGCTCTTTCTTTTTTTCTCATCCAATTAGCCAAGATCTTCTGAAACAATGAACTATTTGCCTGAAAGAGTGAAAAACTCAATGAAAGCACAGCCTCATTAAAGCAACTCTTCAAGCACCACCCCTTCTCATCCCTGCCCCAGACTCTACAGTAAGATCAGATAATGATCTAATGCAAAAGTGTAATCCAACACAAGAGTTCACTGTCACCAGGAAGGGGAGGGTTCCACTCCTCGTTTCTTTCTCTCCATTCCTGTGTTTGTCATTCATCAGACCCTTCATGGACTGTTTTAACTCAAGAAGCCAACACACTCAAACAAGCAGAAGACACTCAATAGTTTTTCTGTGAGGTCAGTGAGTCACACGAGCTCATGGAAAAATCCAGCAAGCGACATCATCAGTGAAAGTGGGCAGCTGGTACGGACGAGGGGAAAGGAACAAAGAGCCAAGTAAACAGACAGGAGGAGGAGCAAGCCTTTCTCCTTTCAGGAGCAGAGAGCTGGCACAGCACAGAGCTCAGATGTTCACAAAATCACAGCCCTGGACTAGATACCCAGATTTTACACAGTCACAATTCAGTGAAATCTTAAAGAACTATGCAACACACTCATAAAGATCAGACTTCCCACGAACATCAAGTGGGTAACAAAAAGAACCCAAACTGCCTTCTATATAATTTGAGAAATGTGACAGCACACTGCATTTTACTTTAACAGTCCAGATTCTATTGATCTGTCATCAGCAAATTGCAACAGTCAAAGCAATCACCTCAAAAAAAATCTAGGGAGGCAAAAACAAAGAGAAACAGGAAATCCTTTGTTATAGAGAGTTCCATAACCTAGACACTGCTCAGATGTTACTGCAGAGAATCCACTGAAAATAAACACTAAAGGCTTTTGTGCACCTAAGTGCAGACATACTGGAGAATATCTGTATGACAGCTGCATTACAGAAGACATCAATCATCAATCTCATGCAAGCTACTATCACTCCCTCCTCAACACTGTTCAAGGTCAAAGTTTCAACAATTATTGCAGTGTCCATCCCTACACATGGGACAAACCTTTCAGTTCCTGTCTTATACTACAGATCCAGTTACTTATTAGGTGAAAAACAACAAACAAGGTTCTCTTTTAACTCAGGGCTACACCACCAAATCAAACTGACAGTAGTTACTGATCAAATTGAATTTTGAATGGGAGCTACACCTGGTAAATTGAGCTGTACTTCAGAGCAGCCAGTCTCCACACACCATGTATGTTT